GACTGCTAAATAGCTAACAAAAACATGGCTACACGGATGATCTGCATTGACCCTTCTATTGGATTGAAATGTTTTGCACTGTCTCTAAGCACACTCACACAATGCACATTCTACACACTCACTCACACTGACGCATAACATCCATACTGACTCTACACACAATCATCATATACGCTGTTGCTACTGTTTATCATACATCCTGATGCCTAGTCACCTTACCCATATACACCTCTATCACTCCAGTATCCCTGCACATTGTAAAAATGGTACTGGAACTGACTCTGTATACAGTATGCTTACTTACTTCTTATTTCTATTTCTCATGTTCTACTTGACTTATTTTTTTGTGCTACATTATACCCCTTTTTCTCCCCAAATGATAGTTACAGTCTTGTCCCATCGCTGCAACTCCCGTACGGACTTGGGAGAGCCAAAGGTCGAGAGCCATGCGTCCTCCGAAACACGACCCTGCCAAGCCACACTGCTCGCTTAACCCTGAAGCCAGCCGCACCAATGTGTCAGAGGAAACACCGTACAACTGGCGACCGAAGTCAGCGTTTATGTGCCCGGCCCGCCACAAGAGCGCAATGGGACAAGGACATCCTGGCCGGCCAAACCCTCCCCTAACCCGGACGACACTGGGCCGATTGTGCGCCGCCTCATGGGTCTCCAGTCGCGGCCAGCTGCGACACAGCCTGGGATCGAACCCGGGTCTGTAGTGACACCTCTAACGCTGCGATGCAGTTCCTTACACCGCTGCGCCACTTGGGAGGCCATCGACTTGACGTTTTAATTTGTTTTCTATAGTACTACTGAGATTGATTACTGTATTGTTGGGAAAGAAAGGCATTTCACTGTACTAGTGCACATGACAATAACAACTTGAAACTTGAAACACACAGAGAGAGAGAGAGAGAGGAGAGAGAGACAAGATAGAGGAGCAAGAGAGAGGAGAGGATAGAGAAAGAAGAGAGAGATAAGAGAGAGAGGAGAGAGAGAGAAGAGAAGGGGAGCGAGAGAGAGAGATCGAGACAAACTGCCACTCTGGCATGTCTCAGGAGCCATTATTGATCCCATGCAACATTTATTCAGCCCTGTATGAACTAATATCCATTCAGCTCAATTTGTGGGACTGTCCTTAGTTTAAATAGTGTTTAACCACTGAACTGAATACATGGAGTTCATTGGCCAGCTCCGCCTAGTCACTCAACCCACTTTATAGGCTAGTGTATGGGTGTGTGTTCAGTTTATGAGGAGCGTGTGTGTGTGTGTGTGTGTGTGTGTGCTTGCATGTGTGTAATATGGGAGGGCAGTAGCTCTGAGGAATGTGTTCTCTCCCCCACTGTTCCACTGAGACTCCAACAAAACAGAGAGAGAGAGAGAGAGAGAGAGAGAGAGAGAGACGGAGAAGAGGAGAGCGACGCGAGAGAGGGAGGAGAAGAGAGAGAGAGACCTTGAAGAGCGAGAGGAAGAGAGAGACGGAGAGAGTCGAGCAGAGAAGAGAGAAGGAGAGACGAGAGCAATGATGGAGAAGAGAGACGAGAGAGAGCAGATGACGGAGAGAATGAGAGAGAGAGAGACGGGAGAGAGAGAGAGAGGAGAGGAGAGAGAGAGAGGATCGAGAGAGAGAGGAGGAGAGAGAGAGAGAGAGAGATGAGAGAGAGAGAGAGAGAGAGAGAGAGAGCGAGGAGAGAGAGAGAGGGAGAGAGAGAGAGAGAGGAGAGAGAGAGAGGGGAGAGAGAGTGAGATGAGGAGAGAGTGAGAGAGAGAAGAGAGCGGAGAGAGAGAGAGAGAGAGAGAGAGAGAGAGAGAGAGAGAGAGAGTGGGAGAGAGATAATAGAAAGACAGGAACAGAGAGAGCGAGGCCCAGCACTACAGAATGGTTATATCTGAGGTGTACATTTCTTATCTGGATGGGCGGATTTAATTTAATTTATGAAGCGCTCAAAACTGTTGGTGAACCAGTCGAAAACAAAACACACGTGGACGTGGTGGAGAGAAACAGGGAAACGTCTGATCATGGATTAAAGACATGACACCAGCCAGGGAAATCAGAGTTCAATGGGACAGCCTTAGGGAAATCAGTTCAATGGGACAGCCTTAGCGAAATCAAGGACAGATGTGTTTGTGTTTAAACAGACCTATAGTTCTGCTCCACTAACAGACTCTTAATACCACGACTGATATAAACATTTGAAAACATGTAGACAATCCTCCATTCACCTCTCTTCTTTCATTCTTATCCTCCATTCACCTCTCTTCTTTCATTCTTATCCTCCATTCACCTCTCTTCTTTCATTGTTATCCTCCATTCACCTCTCTTCTTTCATTCTTATCCTCCATTCACCGTTCCTTCTTTCATTCTTATCCCCCATTCACCTCTCCTTCTTTCATTCTTATCCTCCATTCACCTCTCTTCTTTCACCCTTAGGGTGATCCATGGAGCACAGACACCAAATTAGAACAGATTAATTTTGGTCTTTCGTCCGTGGACGTGTGGAGTGTGTGACGTAAAATGCGTGGGCGTGGGTAATTGGCTAAACGGATGGTTACGTATCCGTCGGCCCGTCAAAAGTTCAACTCATCTGAACTTTTTGTCCGTGAAAATTGATGGAAATTGTATGGATATGGATGCGTCATCTCTGCTGACCGTCAACGTACGACTCCCACTGAGAAGCATTGGAAATCACTAGGGCTGGGAATTGCTAGGGACCTCACGATACGATATTATCACGATACTTAGGTGCCGATACGATATGTATTGGGATTCTGTATGTATTGCGATTCGTTACTGCGATTTTATTAGATGTTCCAAACATATTGCTCACCATACAGTGCATTCGGAAGGTTTTCAGACCCTTTCCCTTTTTACACATTTTGTTACGTTACAGCCTTATTCTAAAATGGATTAAATAAATGTTTTCCCTCATCAATCTACACACAATACCCCATAATGACAAAGCAAAAACATGTTTTTAGACATTTTCAAATGTATTACAAATAAAAAACAGAAATACCTTATTTGCATAAGTATTCAGACCCTTTGCTCTGAGACTCGAAATTGAGCTCAGGTGCATCCTATTTCCATTAATCATCCTTGAGATGTTTTTACAACTTGATTGGAGTCCACCTGTGGTAAATTCAATTGACTGGACATGATTTGGAAAGGCCCCACACCTGTCCCACAGTTGACAGTGCATGTCAGAGCAAAAACCAAGCCATGAGGTCGAAGGAATTGTCCATAGAGCTCCGAGACAGGATTGTGTCGAGGCACAGATCTTGGGAAGGGTACCAAAACATTTCTGCCGCATTGAAGGTCCCCAAGAACACAGTGGCCTCACTCACTCTTAAACGGAAGAAGTTTGGAACCACCAAGACTCTTCCTAGAGCTGGCCACCCGGCAAAACTGAGTAATCGGGGGAGAAGGGCCTTGGTCAGGGAGGTCACTCTGACAGAGCTACAGAGGAACCTGTGGAGATAGGATAACCTCCCAGAAGGACAACAATCTTTGCAGCATTCCACTAATCAGGCCTTTATTGTAGAGTGGCTAGACGGAAGCCACTCCTCAGTAAAAGGCACATGACAGCCCACTTGGAGTTTGCCAGAAGGCACCTAAAGGACTCTCAGACCATGAGAAATAAGACTCTCAGGTCTGATGAAACCAAGATTGAACTCTTTGGCCTGAATGCCAAGCGTCACGTTTGGAAGAAACCTGGCACCATCCCTACGTTGAAGCATGGTGGTGGCACCATCATGCTGTGGGGATGTTTTTCAGCGGCAGGGACTGGGAGACTAGTCAGGATCGAGGGAAAGGTGAATGGAGCAAAGTACAAAGAGATCCTTGATGAAAACCTGCTCCAGAGCGCTCAGTACTTCAGACTGTGGCGAAGGTTCACCTTCCAACAGGACACCGACCCTAAGTACACAGCCAAGATCAACGCAGGAGTGGCTTCGGGACAAGTCTCTGAATGTCCTTGAGTGGCCCAGCCAGAGCCCGGACTTGAACCCAATCGAACATCTCTGGAGAGACCGGAAAATAGCTGTGCAGCAACGCTCCCCATCCAACCTGTCAGAGCTTGAGAGGATCTGCAGAGAAGAATGGGAGAAACTCCCCAAATTCAGGTGTGCCAAGCTTGTAGCGTCATACCCAAGAAGACTCGAGGCTGTAATCACTGCCAAAGGTGCTTCAACAAAGTACTGAGTAAACGGTTTGAATACTTATGTAAATGTGATAATTTTTTTGTAAAAACATTTGCAAAAATGTCTAAAAACCTGTTTTTGCCTTGCCATTATGGGGTATTGTGTGTAGATTGATGAGGGGAAAAAAACAATTTAATCAATTATAGAATAAGGCTGTAACGTAACAAAATGTGGAAAAATTCAAGGGGTCTGAATACTTTCCGAATGCACTGTATATATACTCGGAGTGAAAGTATCGATATAATATCATCCAAAATAATATTGCAATATGTAACTATCGATTTTTCCCCCATCACTAGAAATCACGGATAAGGATCAAATCAACAAGACAGTCTGGCCCCATTATACTCCTGCTGATCATCATCGCCTCCTTCTTTCCTTCTTTTCTTCTCGGCTCTCTTTGATCGGGAACCAGCGTGTCGTGTGTGTGTGTGTGCGTGCGCGTGTGTCAGGAAGTACACGTGGTTTTGTACTCTTTGATGATAAAGGACTAAGATCCCTCATATCTACTGTCATTTGGAGGATAGCTGGAGGGCTGACAACACACATGCACACATGCACACGCCCCACCCCCACACACACAGAGAAAAAGAATTAGCTACAGGGTGACTGTCTAAATGATTGAACACTATATTTTTTCCCTCCCTCCCTATTTGTTCCCTCTCTCCTTCCTCCTTTCTCTCCCTCCTTCCCCCTCTCTCCCCCTTTTCTGTCAACTCACAGGTGGTGCCCTCCCGTTAGAAACACACAGAGACCTGCTTGACAGCGCAGGACGGAAGGAGGGAGGGAGAGAGAGAGCGAGAGAGCGAGAGAGAGCGAGAGAGCAGACCATCTGTGAATCACATCAAGGCAGCTGTGGTTAGAGTGGACTGCAGTTCTTTCACGAACGAGAGGCAGAGGGGGACAGAAGTGGAGAGAAGGAGAGAGAGAAGGACAAAAGGAGAGGGGGCCTGGGTGAGTTTCCAAGCCCAGGACGGTGAACCCTGATCAGGGGGACTTTCAGGCGACAGTGGGGTTAGACCAGGCCCCTGGAGTTCCTTTGGAAAAATGAGGAACTCTGAGAAGACAGTGTTTAGGCACAGGTGAAAATCAAATGAATCCTGACTCTAATGGATTCTGCGATTACAGCATGGATTGAATTTTTTTTCTTCTCATCTAAAGGGACATTTACGTTTTTTCTGTGGGCGTTTTTCTGTGTGGAAATGTGTTGCTTTTTTCTACATGAATTTGGAGTTTCAAATCTTTCTAGTGTGGATTTTAAGGAGGCTGTTTAGTTGACTCTGGGGATCTGAAACTGCCCCACTCATCTGAAGGGATATAATCAACATTCTGGAGTTTTTTTCAAGTATGGATTTTGCGTGCACTAACTGAGAGTGCTTTGTAACCTTGGTAACCAAGCGGTAACCAGGCGTCAACTGAGCGGTAACCATGGCAGCAGCCTATCGCGTGGTAGTGAGCAGTGTTAGTTGCTATAGCAGCGTGGTGGTGGATCGTCGGGCTCAGAGTCACGCGGTGCACTACTGCTCCGGGTCATGTGGGGCGCTGTCCCAGGGACTGGACTGTACTGTAGCCCACCGCAGCACCTGCTCCGAGCTGCTGACCGCCCCCGAACACACACACACTCACACACACCCCGACCCCTCACACACATTCACACACAACCTGACCCGAAACACTAACTCTCCTCATCAAAACTTCAACACCTGTAAACTTAGTATCACCAGCTCTAACGGGAGTATTGGTGTTCCTAATGATCCCCTCTCTAACAGTGTTTATGGTGTGGTTGGTGAGGACAGTCCTCCATGGCGAGGTAAGAAGAACAACACTACTACCAGCTCTAGTCCTGACCGGCCTCTCCAGAGCTCTGCCAGTCTGAAGGACATCACAGGAGAAGCCATCAACCTGGCCAGTGGCAAACTCAAAGAGTTCTCCTTCGAGAAGCTCCGCCTCTCCACCAGTCACGTGACCTTCAGGAAAGGTCGCAAGGTAAGGCCGGACTCCTACAGCCGTCGGTCCACGGACCTCGACATCGTCTATGGACACTTCACCGGGAACGTCGGAGGAACCGGGAATGGGACTATTACCGGAAATGGAAACGCCAATGATGAGAACCTGCCGCCTTTCAGCGACACCCCCAAGGTGCTCAAAGGCCTATCGCCTGCTAGCATCACCGCCGGGGGCGGGTCTCTATCCTCAACCAGCCTATCCAGCGTCTCCAGGGGCGGGTCCACCGGTAGCCTATCCAGCGCCTGCTCCGGTTCCTTGGAGGCGGGGCTAAACACAGTGGCGTCTCTCTACCTCAGCTCATTGGCCGACGAGTCCCTCATCGCCCGGTTACTGGAGAAGACCCGTGCAGGGGAGGAGGGAGGAGTGGGAGGAGCAGGGGGGGAGGACATACGTGCCTGTCTGGACATTCTGGTCAAGTGTTCTGAGGACTTGAAGAAATGTACGGACATCATCAAGCAGTGTATCAGTCGGAAGAGTCCCGGGGGAGGGGAAGATGGGGGAGCCAGCCCTGAGAGCATCTACAGAGCTGTAATGACCAGACTGAGCTCCTACCTGAAGAAACTGCCTCTAGAGCTGGAGGGGGCTGGGTTAGGGTTAGGGTCAGGGGCTGGAGGTCAAGGGTCAGGGATTGGAGGTCATAGCGAGTTGGCCGAGCTGGTTAGTAGTCTGCATATGCTGCAGCAAGCTGCTGTCCCCTTCTCACCCATATTTGGGAATGATCAACCGCCACGGTATGAAGACATTGTTCAGAATCCTCCCTTACCCAAGAGCAAGGCTATACTGGCATCCTCATCCATCGCTCCAGACTCCTCTCTCTCTTTGTCCACTACACCTGAGACAGCAGGGAGACATAAGGTTCAGACCAACGGGCTGCAGCACACACACTCTCCCTCACCGCATACACACACATTGTCCATTTCTACCCCTCCATCCCAGGCACACACACCTTCATCACAAACACACACTCCGTCAGCGCGTGCACCCACTCCGTCCATCTCCCCCATGGAGGCTCTCTTTATTGAGGAGGATGCAGACCTGGGAAGGGGGCTGAACAGGACTTCCAGACACACACACTCACACACACCGACCAGAAGCCTCACACACACTCACAGTCGGAACGGGACAGCTTTTAGTCCACACACACCCCCCAGCTCCGCACACACACACCTCAGCCCCAATCTGCCACACGCACACTTTACATACACACTCCAGTCCACCGGTGAAGCACTCACCTCCCCCCCAACCTCCAAACACACCGCTCCTGTCACTCATAAAGACGACGACATCGATAAACTTCTGATGGACTTGGAGTGTCTGTCACAAAGCATGGGTCGGGAGAGAGACAGAATCAGAGAGGGAGAGAGCGAAAGAGAGAGGGAGCCTCCTCTCCCCGCTAAGACCAGACAGAGGGGGACAGGACAGGGGATCACCTCCCCACAAACCCAACCCTCTCTCCAGACACAAACCCAAATCAACCCCCAGGCTCAAAGGCCTGTTCCTGTTCGCCACCTAACCGCTAACGCCCAGGCCACTAGGTCGACCCCCAGCTCGCCTGCTCCTCTCCCCAAGGCAGAGGGCAGCGTGGTGGGGCTGGGAGATGAGGAGGACGGGGCCCTGCTGCTGAGGATACTGGAGAGCATTGAGAGCTTTGCCCAGGAGCTGGTGGACTCTGGGGGTAGTCCTGGGAACACCGGGAAGACTGGGGCTCAGAGCAAAGAGAAGGAGGTGATGAGACTCCTACAGGACAATCTGGCTACTGCAGCGAAGACTGACACTATGACACAGACACAGGCCAAACTACCGTTATCTCCACCAGCTGGTCAAGGTGATTGTCCATATCTATCTATTCCCATCCATGGTATTGTGTATGTGTTGCATGGTTCTGTGTTCTATGTATGTATCTGAACTGAACTGTGCCTTTACCTACAGATGGACCTGTATCCACATCTGTACATGTGGCTGCCTCCACACCTGCACCAAGACCTACAGCTGGAGCTGTTCCTGTGGCTTTACCTGTCTCTACAGCTCCCACACCTGTCCCTGTCCCTGTCCCCAAACCAGTCCCTGCCCATATCCCCACAACCCTAGCAGAGTCTTCTGCCCTGCCCACACCTGTTCCACCACCTACAGTCGTACAGTCTACAGTTGGACTGTTAGAGGCCACTACACTCGAACGTACACCTGTAGAAGGTCCTACAGCTGAACTGACAGCTGGACTTACCACCAAGGCCACCCCTCCACCGTCTGTAACACCTCTCCCCTCCCCTGTCCCGCCCCCTACACCCACACCTGCAGAGGCACCTGTTGCTACCATCGCTGCTCCTGTTGCCGTGAGACACCCGGTTGCCCCTAGCGACGCGGTTGCCCTGAGAGACATTGGCTCGACGCTGCTCATCCAGCAGACGCCCGAGGTGATCAGAGTGAGTACCACTGACCGACGTGTGTGTGTGTGTGTGTGTGTGTGTGTGTGTGTGTGTACCAGACTGTCAGACTTCTATTAGTCAGGTCTGCCTGCCTCTTATGCGTGAAAGGCTCTTCCTCTGCCACTACAGCTGTTGAAGGAGACTACTTTCTCTATGTGTTCTAGTTGAGAGATGTATTGCTGGTTGGATATGTGTTTATGTTCTAGCTGAGAGAGGGAGAAAGAAGAAGGGAGAGAGAGAGGGAGGTAGAGAGAGGGAGGTAGAGAGAGGGAGGTAGAGAGAGGGAGGTAGAGAGAGGGAGGTAGAGAGAGGGAGGTAGAGAGAGGGAGGTAGAGACAGAGAGAGGAGGAAAGGACGAGGTGGAGACGAAGTGGTGGCCAGCTCTCTCCTCTCCTCTGGAATGTTTGGGGTAATTTAGGGCTTTGTGCTGTCACGGGAAACAGAGAATTACTGCTCTGTGTTTGTGTGTTTGTGTGTGTGTGTGTCAGTATGTTAACGTGGAAGGTACTTTAGGTTCCTGGGTGTTCTGTCAGTGCTGGGTGTCATGGTAAGGTCATAAATACAGTGCCTTCAGAAAGTATTCATACCCCTTGACTTATTCCACCTTTTGTTGTGTTACATCCTGAATTCAAAATGGATTAAATATATTTTATCTACACACAATACCCCATAATGACAAAGTGAAAACATGTTTTTAGAAATGTTTGCAAATGTATTGAAAATGAAATACAGAAATATCTAATTTACATAATTATTCACATCCCTGAGTCAATACATGTTAGAATCACCTTCGGCAGCGATTACAGCTGTGAGTCTTTCTGGGTAAGTCTCTAAGAGCTTTCCACATCTGGATTGTACAATATTGCACATTATTCTTTTTAAAATTCTTCAAGCTCTGTCAAGTTGGTTGTTGATCATTGCTAGACAACCATTTTCAAGTCTTGCCATAGATTTGCAAGCCAATTTAAGTCAAAACTGTAACTAGGCCACTCAGGATCATTCAATGTTGTCTTGGTAAGCAACTCTTCCAGTGTCTGTTGGAAAGTAGACTGAACCAGGATTTTGCCTTTGTTTAGCGCTATTCAGTTTATTTTTATTCTAAAAAACTCCCTAGTCCTTGCCGATGACAAGCATACCCATAACATGATGCAGCCACCACCATGCTTGAACGTATGGAGAGTGTTATTTTATTGCCTTGTTGCAAACAGGATGCATGTTTAAAAAAAAAAAAAGAATCTGTACAGGCTTCCTACTTTTCACTCTGTCATTTAGGTTAGTATTGTGGAGTAACTACAATGTTGTTGATCCATCCTCAGTTTTCTCCTATCACATCCATTAAACTCTGTAACTGTTTTAAAGTCATCATTGGCCTCATGGTGAAATCCCTGAGCGGTTTCCTTCCTCTCCGGCAACTGAGTTAGGAAGGACGCCTGTATCTTTGTAGTGACTGGGTGTTTTTTTTTTAAATCTACCAATAGGTGCCCTTCTTTGTGGTTGAATCAGTGTTTGAAATTCACAGCTCGACTGAGGGACCTTACAGATATTTGTGTGGGGTACAGAGATGAGGTAGTCACATTAAGCACTATTATTAAACACAGAGAGAGTCCATGCAACTTATTATGTGACTTGTTAAGCACATTTTTACTCCTGTACTTATTTAGGCTTGCCATAACAAAGGGGTTGAATACTTATTGACTCAAGACATTTCAGCTTTTCATTTGTAATTAATTTGTAAAAATGTCAAGAAACATCATTCCACTTTGACATTATGCGGTACTGTGCGTAGGTCAGGGACACAAAATCAAAATTTAATCAATTTTAAATTCAGGTTGTAACGCAACAAAATGTAGGAAAAGTGAAGGGGTATGAATACTTTCTGAAGGCACTGTAGGTGGCCTACATATCAGCAGGGAGTAAGGTTACACAGCATGGTCAATAAACAGACAGGAGAGGTAGAAGGAAAGAGAGAAGGAGGGATGACAAGGAGAGAGAGAGAGATAGAGAGAGAGATGATGAAGTGGTCCTCTCACAGGATCTTCTCTCTGATTGGTTGAAGTGTTATTTTGGGACCAGTCTCTGTTGTTGCAGTGTCACAGGCAGAACGGGAGTGTGTGTGTGTGTGTGAGGTGCTGATTGGAGCACAGCAGGAGAGGGTGGGGGCTGTTGGCATTGGGAATGTTAATGGTGTCGTTACCAAACACACACACACACACACACACACCAGGCTGACAGATAGAGGTGTGATGGGGACCTAAATCTGTCTACTACGGCATCCTGCTAACAGACTCACTGTCGCCACAGTGTAAACGGACCCTGTGTGTGTGTGCGTGTGTTTGTGTGTGCGTGTGTCTGTCGCCAAAGGGTAGGCTGACCCATTGCTACTGTTAGGTCACAGCTGAGTTTAGGAATAGCTCTGTGTGTGTGTGTGTGTGTGTGTGTGTGCTTTCTGACACCCAATGCCTCTATGGCACTCTGAGAATTATGCAAATACACCCCATCGCCAACCCCGCCCCATGTCCTAATTAAACATTACCCTGCCAATCACACTGAAGTGTGACACGGGTCCAAAGGCGGTGTGTTTGTGTGTTTGTGTATGTGTGTGTGTGTGTGTGTGTTTGTGTGTGTGTGTGTGACAGAGTAATATAGGCCTTTCTGCACCTGTCAGAGTGTTCCCATTAATCACCATGGAGACCAGGGCCAGGCCAGATAAATCCAAGGCCAGGCAAGCCTGTCGCACGCAGAGCAGAGAGCAAGACAAGACTAGCAGATCAGACAGCAGAGAGCAGACTAGCCATTTGGATAGCCGACGGTCCTCCTACCCTCCTACAGTGACTGCATTTCAAATGGCACCCTATTCCCATGACCAGGGCCCTAGGCAATAGGGTGCCATTTGGGACGAAGCCAGGCTTTGGCTCCAACACTTACACCAATCCAAAGCTTTTAAATTCAACAGGGGGAGTGAATGAGTGGCCGTGACAAGTTACTGCTCTACAGGAAAGACCCAGCGCAAAATACAATAAAGCTGAAGGAAAACGTGTGAGAAAGAGAAGAGGTCGACAAGATGAATGTAGGGGTAAACAGCAGGGGTTGTTGTCTTTGGGTTGGTACTTAATGACATCACCTCCCGACTGCTTCCACAGGAAATGAGGTCACAGCAGGAAGCTCAGCCAAGCGGTGAGAGAAGCCCCCTCCCCCTCTTTCCCTCTCCTTCTCTCTCTAACACACAAACACACACACACCTTGGACTCATGGAGTCTGTGTTGCTATGTGTAAGGAGTTTCCAACTCTGACAATAGCCTCCAAGGTTAGCCACCCCCACACACACACACACACACGTAGCCTCCAGTCCCATGGTGACATCATACACCACTCCCAGTGCAGGCTGGGATATTGTCCAATACACACAGACACATAGAAAGAGAGAGAGAGAGAGAGAGAGAGAGAGAGAGAGAGAGAGAGAGAGAGAGAGAGAGAGAGGAGAGAGAGAGGGAGAGAGGAGGAGAGAGAGAGAGAGAGAGAGAGAGAGAGAGAGGCATGATATACATTGTTACACATACAAGAGATCTAAAGAACTACACTTGACACCATCACATTCCTCTGCGCACACACACACAACACACAGGCACACAGACACACACTCTGCACGTACACTCTGCACACACTTTTTATACCTGAGGTCACCTTTTTGCTGTTTGGCTTAGAGGAAAGGATTTACAGTCTCTCCGATCACCTTAGCAACCATTGTCTGTTTACACAACTTCCTACATTTGTAATAATTGTGTGTGTGTGTGTGTGTGTGTGTGTGTGTGTCCTGCAGCTCTCTGCTGCCATCTAGTTTTAGTCTGCTGTTAACACACAGAGTTAAACAGGAGACATTCACCAGGGGCGACTTCATCCTCCTCCTGCTTCATCTAGGAGCTCTGCCTCCATCTGTTGGAGGAGAGGGGTACTGCAGTACAAGAGGTCTGTTGGAGGAGAGGGGTACTGCAGTACAAGAGGTCTGTTGGAGGAGAGGGGTACTGCAGTACAAGAGGTCTGTTGGAGGAGAGGGGTACTGCAGTACAAGAGGTCTGTTGGAGGAGAGGGGTACTGCAGTACAAGAGGTCTGTTGGAGGAGAGGGGTACTGCAGTACAGGAGGTCTGTTGGAGGAGAGGGGTACTGCAGTACAGGAGGTCTGTTGGAGGAGAGGGGTACTGCAGTACAGGAGGTCTGTTGGAGGAGAGGGGTACTGCAGTACAGGAGGTCTGTTGGAGGAGAGGGGTACTGCAGATCAGGAGGTTCAGTCTTTCTAAAGCAGGCAGGGGTGCTCAGACAGCTCCACAGGTGTACAGGGGAGGGGAGGGTAAAGGAGGAGAGGAGAGATGGAGGAGCAGGTGTTTATCTGGATCTGAGTGTGTCTAGAAGAGAGAGAGAGAGAGGGGGAGAGAGAGGGGGGGAGAGAAAGAGAGAAATAATGTATATGTTACAGTGCAATCTGACAGGTTTCTGACATAGTTAGGAAATAGTCAGTGTTATGTGGTAACTACTGGGTCTGGTCAGCTTCCAACTTAGACACATAGTGCCCTCTTGTCTGCTTGTGTGTGGGCGTGCGCATGCGTGTGTGTGTGTGTGTGTGTGTGTGTGTGTGTGTGTTGGGAGAGGAAGTGAGTCTGGGAATAGAGCAGAGATGTGAAATGCGTTTCCTCGTTGTTGGCACGGTTACCCTGCGAACATTCCGACCGATGCAGCCAATCCAAGCCAAGGGTCGTTACCACGGAGATGGCATTTGGCATGCCTATTTTCAAGTGTGTGTGTGTGTGTGAAGTCTGCCTAGTTCTTGCTTCAGAAATAAGCCTATAGAGTTAAGCCAACCCCTTGTCCAGTTGACAACAATAAAGGACGTCACAGTGGCACTGACAGTTAATTCTATGGCACTTTCATAAATGTTGTTGTGAAAACAAGTATCTAACAATAATATGAAATATCCAACAGTTCTGGATTTGAGTGCACAAGCCACTCAAACTAATTGTAACACTCTCCTTACTCCACACCTTACTGACAAAGTACTTCCAGCTTTAGCACTAGCTAGCGCTGGTAGATAAGGGAAGCTAGCATGTGTTGAAGGTTTATTGACTTTTCTCTGAAATATTGCTGTAATTTCACATAATGGTTCCACTTTGAAGGAATAACAACTTATCGGCTTTAGTAATTGTTTACTTAAAAGTGAAGAGATTAGGGGAGGGGAGAGGAGGAGAGGGGAGGAGAGAGGAGGAGAGGGGAGGAGAGAGGAGGGGTTGGAAAGAGAAAAGAGGAGGGTAGAGGAAAAGGGAGGGCAGGAGAGGGCAGAACGTGGCCTAGGGTGGTCTAGCGGACTGGTCTAAGCTGCTACCTCCGGTTCACATAAACCACTGCAGCATGGATTCAAATCCACTGCTTTCAGCACTCTCTTCTCTGCTCTTTTCACTTTTCTCTCTATTTCTGTACTGCCCCACTCCTTTATAAAGACATTGAAAAGACAGAGAGGTGGTTTACGGAGAGAGAAGGCAGGTAAGAAGGAGAGAGAGTTAGAAGAGAGAAGGAGGTAAGGGCAGGAGAGAAGGAGGTAAGGAGCAGGAGAGAAGGAGGTAAGGGAGGAGAGAAGGAGGTAAGGGGAGGGAAGGAGGTAAGGGGAGGGAGAAGGATGGTAGGAGAGGAGGAGAAGGAGGTAAGGGGAGGAGAGAAGGAGGTAAGGGGAGGAGAGAAGGAGGTAAGGGGAGGAGAGAAGGAGGTAAGGGGAGGAGAGAGGGAAGTAAGGAGAGGAGAGAAGGAGGTAAGGGGAGGAGAGAAGAAGGTAAGGAGAGGAGAGAAGGAGGTAAGGAGAGGAGAGAAGGAGGTAAGGGGAGGAGAGAAGGAAGTAAGGAGAGGAGAGAAGGAGGTAAGGGGTGGAGAGAAGGAGGTAAGGAGAGGAGAGAAGGAGGTAAGGGGAGGAGAGAAGGAAGTAAGGAGAGGAGAGAAGGAGGTAAGGGGTGGAGAGAAGGAGGTAAGGGAAGAAGAGATGGAAAGAGAGGAGAGGCCTGTCAGCGAGGAAAAGAGCACGCAGCTGGGTCAATGACATCTGTTCAGGGTCCGCTTACACACACACACACACACACACACTGGTCTGCGCTTAACGCTGAGATTTATGACTCAACAAGTGCAGGGGCGCTCTAGGAAAAGAAATCCAACTTTTTAGCTGTCACAAATAGCAGAATGGATTATTTTTTTTAATGGTGCAAGCTGGAATTCCATTGCCATCACAGTTTAGCTACATACAGACAGTGAAAAACTGTATGCTAATGGATGACCCTAGCTACTAATAATAGCACTCAGCAGTTGCAACAGAAAACCACAACAAAGTCGTGTGAGCCACAGAATCCTTGAGACAACGTGCATTGCAAATCATGCAGGCAAAGAGAGAGGCTTACAGTACTATTTACAAGTATTGGAACTTCTCCAGCTCTTGGAGGTGGCGCAGTGTGTGTGTGTTATGGATGTGACCTTGGCGTGAGAACACTGCACTTCTAAATAATTGTGTGTATGTGTGTGTGTGTGTGTGTGTGTGTGTGTGTGTGCATGCATGTGTGCGTGCGTGGAGGGGGAGAGCTGAAAACGCAAGGTGACTCCGTCACTGAGGCTTTGTGTCATACACACACACACACACACACACACACACACACACACACGGTGGGATTATTCCCTTCGTGTCTAACGTGTTTGATGTTCCTGTTGTAACTCTCACACCCTGACCCACCTGTCAGCTACACAGCTCTGTTCAATCCTACTACCAACTGGTACGTGTAACCAATTCTCTCCTCCAACTTCCTGCAGCGTTTAGTTCCAGCCCTGCGCTAACATACCTGATTCTATTAATCAGCTGTTCATCAGGACATTGATTAGCTGAATCAGGTGAGTTAGAGCAGGGCTGAAACAAAAACCCTACACACCCAGTGGCTCTGTAGTAAGAGGATTGGTTACCCCTGTAATAGATTGTAAGACTCTCCTCATGTGGCCTTCTAGTCCCAACTATAACTACTCTACTAGCAATACACCTGATAAGGCCAGTAGCCACAGATGTTTTATCCTTTGGTCACTGGACTGGGCACTGGTTGACGGGTTAGACGTACAGTAGCACTGCAGACCAGAATTGAGGATTGTAGGTCATGCACAGCCACAGCCACTAGATGGGGCTGAGCTATCCTCCAGTCCAGACTTCACTCAGAACATCCAGAATACTGTTGAGGCTAACTTTAGCCAGAGAGGCTAGGGGAGTGGGGCAGGTGGGCAGGGGAGGGGGGCACACACACAGATATGCAACACGACCAAACCGAACCCCCTGCCCTACCCTTTTGCGCAGGACAGCCGGTGTGCTGTGTGTGTGTGTGTGTGTGTGTGTGTGTGTGTGTGTGTGTGTATGTGTGTGTGTGTGTGTGTGTGTGTGGTGTGTGTGTGTGTGTGTGTGTGTGTGTGTGTGGTGTGTGTGTGTGTGTGTGTGTGTGTGTGTGTGTGTGTGTGTGTGTGTGTGTGTGTGTGTGTGTGTGTGTGTGTGTGTGTGTGTGTGTGTGTGTGTGTGTGTGTGTGTGTGTGCGTGCGTGTGTGTGTGTATGTGTGTTTCGCAGCCAGCGCTCGGCCTGTCTCATATTTCCAAGAGCTGGTCTCTCAGTTTGATTCTCAGAGCGACAGGCTACAGAAGGACTATACCGTAGAACCAGAGAACCACAGGGGAGACGGGAACTTTTCTAGCACTCTGTTGGGCCACGTATGGACACCGGCTGGCCCGCCGCTATGGTTTTACGAGCTACGCTAGGAGCTAACACATGGAACATATCAGTGCACACACGGATCAGCTACGGACTCAACCCTGAGAGAGAGAGAAAATATAAGTGTGTCTGAGTGTATGTCTACATTATTTGTCAATATTACAGTGTGTGTGTGGAAGTGAAGCAACAGGAAAGTTTGAGTGAGGAAGAGAGTGTGTGTGAGTGGCAGACATTTAGTGAGAAGCAGCTAGCTGCAGGTGGACTCAGAGCCTACTCAGAACACTGTCCAGTTGGATCTTCCTTCGTTTCTCTGTGCACTTATTTTCTTCTCTTAGGGGACTGTTCTTTTCCTCCACTGGGTGTTCTGGTCTTCTTCAGTCTGTTCTCCTGGATATGTGAAAGGAATCATCCCTCGTTCCATTGGACAGAATGGAGAGAGTAAAATACTTCAAAGAAACAAAATAGAAAGCTGGAAACCATTGCATGGAGAGAGTGAAAAACTGAAAAGAAGAGAGAATTGTCGAGCTGTGGTCTGTAGATAGACTGTAGACTCCATAGATCTGTTGGTAGTCTAGTCAGTAGTCCTGTCTGTAATTCTATACCACGGCCGGTCCGTGGTTCATCTGTCTCTCAGGGGGTTTTGCTCCACCCTCCACCGACACCAGCTGGGAATCTGATTGAACTTTGAACTTGAAGATTCATTTAACTTTGAACTTGAACCGCCACCTAAGAAACAGATGCAATAAAGTCATCATCATCATCATCTTCATCCTATCATCATCATGTTTATCAAGGAGTCTAAAGAGACATTACGGGGGGACCCTGATCTAAGATGTGAGCTAGCCTTCCTCTCCCGGGGCTGTGACTTCGTACTGCCCTCGCGCTTCAAGAAGAGAATCAAGACGTTCCAGCAACTGCAGGCGCAGGTTGGTTAGTACTGGACTGGACTGGACTGGACTGGACTCACTGGATGAGGCTGATGCATTAAACACACACACACACACACACATCTGCAATAAACACACACACGCACACGTTTGCAATAAACATCTGCAATAAACACACACACGCACACGAAGACATGCTATTCTGAGGCAGATACCAGAGTGGTATTTTTAGTCCTGGGGGGCAGGAATAGAGTGATAGAATGGATGAGTGCAGAGAGGAGAGGATAGGAGGGGGGGGGGGGGGGGGGGGGGGGGGGGGGGGGGGGGGGGGGCTGGTTCAGCTGTCCTACTTGATACCCACCCAGTACAGACACCCAGCAGGGCGTATAGGGCCTGTAACTTTGACACATAACACAGTGCTTGAACCTTGTTTCATGGTGTTGAAACAGACATGCATCAGTATTTCTCTCAGGTGGTATGCATGCGGTAGACTGGTCGCTTAGTCACAACAGATATGTTTGTATAGGGTAGTCTACTCCTACAGTTGTTGTTCATTACCATAGTTGTTGTTGTCCAGTGGGGAGGGGGTGTGGGGATATCTTTTTCCACTGCTACAGGCGGTTCAGGGTTTTGGGAAGGTGGTGTGCTTGTACATCTGGTAAGCTGAGGTACACTTGTAAATAAGACGAGTAGTGGAAAACAAGGAGAAAACAGATTCAGGAAGTGGGGCAGTGTTAGTGGGGCTGGTGTGATGTGGGGTGAGGGGTGAGTGAGTAGAGGTGAATTGGTATTGATTTGGCTATGTATGAAAGTTGCATTGTGCCAGTAAAGGTTGATTTTAAATCTCTCTCTCTTTCTCTCTCCCCCTCTCTCTTTCTTTCTCTCCCCCCTCTCTCTCTTTCTCTCTCCCCCCTCTCTCTTTCTTTCTTCAGGTCCAGTCCAACAAGCAAGATAAGAAACCTGGCACACCTCCTCCAGCCCCTCTCTCCCCCACCCCCTCCATTCCTCCCCACCACTCCCCCTCTCCTCCCCCCACCCCAGTCGTCCTCACCCCTCCTCCCCCACCTCCCTCTCCTCCCCCTGCCCTCAACATTCCCCGCTTCTACTACCCCCGAGGGTTACCAGGGGCAACAAAAGTCAACCACGATGCAGCCATCACTGCCATAGAAACAGCCTTCACAGAGTTTGAGGAGGAGAAGGCTGATATCTACGAGATGGGCAAGATCGCTAAGGTAACACACACACACAAACGCGCACACACACACTACAATATGAAATGGGGGTGGGTGCTACAGGTCGGTGGTGAAAAAGTTGTTCTGTGTTTGTAGCTTTCTGTCAATAGTTGTGGTTTAGCTGTCCATCTTACTTCCTGTTGTGTGTGTATTTGTTTTCAGGCATGCGGCTGTCCTCTGTACTGGAAGGCCCCCATGTTTAACGGAGCGGGAGGAGAGAGGACCGGCTTCGTCTCTGTTCACTCCTTCATTGCTACCTGGAGAAAGTAAGAAGCCCTTTTTTCCCAAACCCTCTCCCTCCCCCTCCACCATTCCCCCTCCGTTCCACCTCCCCACTCCTCCCCCAATCCTTTTTCCACCGCCCACTCGGCTCCACCCTCTCCCCCCCCCCACTCCTCTCCCCCCAAATCTGCTCCACTCCTTTCTCCACCCTGGGGCCCGGCTAAACCCCTCCCCAAAAAACCCACGCCAACCCCGAAAAACCCCGGGCCCCGGAGGGCGGTTGCGGGGGGAAAAGGGGAAGAGGGGGGGGAAAAGCCGGCCCAGCCTTTACAACCTCCCTCCTCCCAAAACCCCCGCTTAAATCCCTCCCTCCATCCCCCCTCCTCCCCTCACCCCAAATCCACTCCACTCCCTCCCTCCCTCCCTCCCCCCCACCCCCTCCACCCCCTTTTTTTTCCCTTTTATTTCCCCCCAAAAATTAAATCCCCTTTGAAAATTCCCCCTTTTTTTTATTTTTCCTTTTGTTTCCTCCTTCCTTGCTTTCCCCCCGGGACCATGTATGAAGGAAAATTAACCCCTTGGGGAAGGGGTCTATTATTAAAGGGGGAAAAACCCTTATACTTGGGGGGTTTCATTCAGTTTCCCCTTTCCAAATCCCCCCACGGGTTTTTGGGAAAGGGGTTATTTTCCTTTCTTCTTCTTCTCTAAAGAAAGCGAACCCCGGGGGAAGGAAGGAGGAACAAAACAGGGGAGGTGAAGAAGGCTTAAAAATGAGAGGAGAGGGGGCCCGAAAACAAAAGGGGGAAAGGGTTTAGAGGAAAAGCCCTCGCGATGCCCCGAGGAAACGAAGAGAAAAGAGAGGGGAGAAGGGGGGGAGAAGAAGGGAGCAGAAGAACGCGTATGGCTCTCGGGGGGGGCCCAAAAAGGGGGGCAAAGAATACCCTGGGGAGAGAGAGAGAGAGAGGAGAGGGAGGGAGGGGGAGAAGAGAGAGGGAAAAGAGAGAAAAGCGGGAAAAGAGGGGAGAGGGGGAGGAGACCCGGGGAAGGAGAGAACCTCTCTCTCTCTCTCTCTCTCTCTCTCTCTCTCTCTCCTCTCTCTCTCTCTCCTCTCCCCCTCTTCTCCCCCTCTCTCTCTCTCTCTCTTCTCTCATCTCCTCGCTCTCTTTGTATGTGTGTGTAGGACATAGTGGACACCCACCCAGGACTGACATTCTTGAAGGATGCCCCAGAATTCCATTCCCGTTACATCACCACCGTGAGTGACGTCATCCATCACCTAGTCCTTACATAGTTGTTACTATAGCAACCATTTTATAACTGTATGTCACTACCATAGAATTAGGAATTAGAATACTAGAATGGACATGAACCTACTTATGATGGGATAAAGGTCAGCCATTTTGGTAAGGGAGTTGGTCAAAAATGGTTTGCCAGTGCTGTGATATTGTGTAGAATAATGAATTTCAAGAATTTATCTGCACTGTATTTTTGTTAGTTAGCCAGCCACACAGTTTTAGAGAAATGATTCCATTATTTTATTTTTTATTAACTGTCAATATTCCAACATTCCATTCAAACAATGCAGTCAATCCACAGCCATACACTGGCTCAAATCAGTTGATGATAAGACTAAGACAAGTTGTAAATGCAACAAGTACTGATATTGTATCATATAATAGCACTCTCAGCTTGACAAGAAAACAACAATTCAGACATTTATGGTCTGTTTACATATATTTTTGAGGCTATTTATGCAGAACATTTGTATCAAACCCGAATAAACTGTATTTATAATTCTATGACAATATTTTAGGTTGACATTAATTCTATGACACAATTTCTGATATATCACATGCCTTACTTGGCATAGCCCCTCTAGTAATTGAATAGGCTCTCTATGGTCACTAAATGCAACAGTCCACAAATCACACTCACAAAGCTGAACCTTACATTTCCACACCGAACTCATTCACTGCATTCATAGCATTATAACGTGTGGGGTGTCATAGACCACACCTGTTGAACAAATAGCCTGATCACAGGCAGATGGACACTTTAACACTTAGTCTGCTGAACCATCACTAATAGTCTTGTGGTCTGCTGTTATGAAAATGTATGCACTCACTAACTGTAAGTCGCTCTGGATAAGAGCGTCTGCTAAATTACTAAAATGTAAAATGTCTAACTAGTAGTGTGCTGATGAAGGTAAAGTGATAGAAGTGCTCTCCCAGAGTAACTTTAGCTTCTGATCTGAGTGTATGGAGACAGACAGACAGGCAGACAGACAGACAGACAGACAGACAGACAGACAGACACAGGCAGACAGGCAGACTGATTGAGAGACAGGCAGCTGCCTGCAACACGTGTATTAGGGGGTTACAGGAGGGTGCTTCAGCATACTGTGACATCACGGAAACACTGTTGATGCTGCCCCCTGCAGGCCACAGTCTACAACCCAGGATCTGCACACACACATGCACCCATATTTAGACACCTAACCACTTCCTCTGAAAATACATTGGAAGGAGGCAAGGGTGAGTGTCAGCTTGTGACAACTATTCACCACCCTTCCTCTATGTTCTATGGTTGCTAGGTGATTCAGCGGATATTCTATGTGGTCAACCGCTCGTGGACGGGTCGCATCACCATGACGGAACTACGAAGGAGCAACTTCCTGCAGGTACATGCATCACTTCCTGTTCCAGCTTTAAAGGATAAATATAGAAATATCCTAGTTTGGAATCAAACATGTCTTTTTCTCTCTCTCTCTCACAAACTATTTCTCTCTCTCTCTCTCTCTCTCTCAATAAAATACAATTATATTCAGTAGATTTGATTGACATGGCAAGTTAAATTACTTACATCAAAGTATACATATAACAAACAATGGTGGGACCAACAGCAATAAGGCATCAATAATAAAAGTAGCAGCAGTGGAAATGGTATTACCAATAACAGCAACTACAACAACAATAATATATTAAAGCAATAGTAGTAGGCCAGTTTCAACATGACTGAGAAGCCACATTGCATGGTATGAAAGCCAAAACAAAATGGGAAATATTATTGACATTACGTTGCACTTTTATTTCTCTCTCTCTCTCTGTCCCTCTCTCTCTGTCCCTCTCTCTCTCTCTCTCTCTGTCTCCGTCTCCGTCTCTCTCTCTCTCTCTCTCTCTCTCTCTCTCTCTCTCTCTCTCTCTCTCTCTCTCTCTCTCTCTCTCTCTCTCTCTCTCTCTCTCTCTGTCTCCGTCTCTGTGTCTCTGTCTCTCTCAGACCCTGGCCCTGTTGGAAGAGGAGGATGATATCAACCAGATAACAGATTATTTCTCTTATGAACATTTCTATGTGATCTACTGTAAATTCTGGGAGTTGGACACGGACCATGACCTTTACATTGACCCTAAGGACCTGGCTCGTTACAACGACCACGGTGAGTCTGTCTGAGTGACTGTGTATTCAATCTTAAAGCTTTGGAAAAGCATTTTGGTATTAGTCATTTACTAATCCCTCTCTCTTTCTCTCTCTCCCCCCCCCCCCCCCCCCTCTTCTCCTCTGACAGCATCCTCAAGCAGAATCATTGAGAGGTTGTTCTCAGGAGCCGTCACACGGTAAGAACACACACACGTACCCTAACAATATCTGGTAAAAGCAAAATGGTTGAATGTAAAGTTATTATTTCTCTCTCCCTGTCCTCTGTCTCTCTCTCAGGGGTAGTTCAGTGCAGAGAGAAGGGAGGATGAGTTATGCAGAGTTCACCTGGTTCCTCATCTCAGAGGAAGACAAGAAAAACCCTACCAGGTAGCACAGCGGAGTGTGTGTATGAGCAGGAGAAAGTGTGTGTATGCAACATGCGTGCATTTGTGTTTGTCCACGGTGCGTTTTGGTGTGGTGATCTACCCCCCCCTCCTCTCTTGAGAAGAGAGAGAGAGAAGATGAGAAGAGAGAGCGGATAAGAGGGAAGGAGAGAGAAGAGGAGGGAAGAGGAGAGAGAGAGAGAGAAGAGAGAGCGCGGTAGAGAGAGAGAAGGAGGGAGAGGAGAGAAAGAGAGTAGGAGAGAGGAGGGAGAGAGCGAAGAGAGAGAAGAGAGAGCTTAGTAGAGAGGGTTCTCGAGAGAGAATCTCTCTGCTTTCTCTCGCTCTTCTCTCTCTCTCTTTTCTCTACTCTCTCTCTCTCTTCTCTCTCTCTCTCTCTCTTCTCTCTCTTCTCTCCTCTCTCTCTCTCTCTCTCTCTTGTCTCTTTGTCCCTCCAGTATAGAGTACTGGTTCAGGTGTATGGACACAGACGGGGACGGTGTGTTGTCTATGTTTGAGTTGGAGTACTTCTATGAGGAGCAGTGTAGTAGGATGGAGGGGATGGGCATTGAACCACTACCCTTCACAGACCTGCTCTGTCAGATGCTAGACCTCGTCAAACCTGAGAGCCAAGGTGTGCGTCCCCCCCCCCCCCCCCTCTATCTTCCTCTATCTTCTCCTCTGCATGCCTCCGCTTTCTCTCCCTCTTTTCTCTCCTCTCTTTCTCTTTCATACATTATACTTTACACGTGTGCAGTACAGCAGTGGATAAACATCCTATTCTGTGTGTGTGTTTGTTTAGGTAAGATAACCCTGTCTGATCTGAAGAGGTGTAGGATGGCTCATATATTCTTCGACACGTTCTTCAACCTCGAGAAATACCTGGACCACGAGCAGAGAGATCCCTTCGCTTTGCAGAAGGTAGGACCGTGTGTGTGTCTGTGTGTGTTGTAGGACATAGACAGTGAGGGTGTGTGTGTACTAATGTGTGTGTGTGTGTGTTGTAGGACATAGACAACGAGTGTCCAGAGCCGTCAGACTGGGATAAATACGCCTCAGAGGAATACGAGATCCTGGTGGCAGAGGAGACAGCTAACGAACAGCTGCAGGAGGGGTAAGACACACACACACACACACTCACACACTGACACACACCCACACTCACACACACACACACTCTCATACTGTGTTGTCTCCCCAGCACGTTTGATGATGACTATGAGGAGGCGGAGCTTCCGGTTCAAGGAGAGATGATTGGGAATAAGATGGATAAGCTGCTCATATCAGATCTGACAGCGTGAAATTCCCAAAGCCTGGAATACCGCTCCCTTCTCCTTGGATATACAGGAGACGGGGGAGAGGAGAAGTGGGATGGACAGGGAGACATTGAGAAAAAGCTAAAGCGCTGGAGATATCCAAACTCTCTCACCTTCTCCCTTCATACACAGACAGGGACAGAAGAGATGGTGGAAGATGGAGAAAAGGAAGAGGGTTGGACAGAAAAAGAGAGAGCACTCTGGCAGCTGTCCTCTCAGCCCTCTGTAGGAAAAAACGTGTTTTCCACTCTTTTATCTTTATTGGAGTGTGTGTGTGTGTTGTGTGTGCATGTGTGTATGTGTGTGTGTGTGTGTTTGTGTCATCCCAAAGACTGTGTTTGGTGCAATTATGTGTCTTAACATGTTTAACATGTAGAAGTAAGAAAGCACAAATCCTGATATGGAGATACTTCCTGTATGATGTGTATAATAACTGCCATATTGAGATTTTTCACTGACAATCAACTACTAGACAATCAACCAAGTTGTTTTCAAACGTGTCAATCAACACACACACACACACACACGCACACACTGGCATACACACAGCGCTGTGCAAAACAGTACCATCTTGTAGTCACTAGTTATACTGCTGGCTGCTCTTACAACAGACTAGTGACGTTTAGAAAAGGGAGTTGGAAAGCTACTGTCAGCGTTCTCCATTTATAAACATCATTTTCAGTGTTCTATTTCAGAATGTTACTGTTGAATAGTTTGATAAGGCAGGCTATTGTGTTTTTGATTCATTAGAATTAGTAGAATGTTTCATTCTATTTGAGATAAAATGCATGTACTGTATATTCCGTCCATATACTTTTCAAAGAGTTCAGTTCTCTCATGGCAGAGGCTGGGTCAGAAATGGCAGTCTATTCCCTATATAGTGCACTATAACTTATAGGGGGTACGGTGTCATTCTAGATTTGACCAGAATCAACCACAGTGTACATAGACTTAGCTGTAACTAACTAACTATGAACTAATATGAACTAACTATCTCTCTGGTAGAGATGTTACTGTAAAAACCAAAACGGACATGTCCAGAAGTGACACAAACTTGCTAGCCACAAGACGCGCTGTCGACACGCGGAACAAGACAGTAAAGCTAACAGGCGTTTTAATGTGTCACCAAAGGTGATGTTCCAGTCATTATTCTATTCTAGCATCAAGTATTCTTTATTTTATCACTGTTGAATGTTGGTGATGTTTTAAAGCTGTGCTTGTGCGTGCCTGTGCGTGCGTTTGTGTGTGTGTGTTTGTTTTTAATAGCAACAATCTGTCTCTATATATCCATTGTAAATGTGTATTTAACTTTACATTGTGTAATGATGATGTTACTGATGGTTTGTGTTGCTGTGTCACTGTGTGGCTCGACGGGGTTAAGTTATGTGGCGTGTGACCCAGATGCACAGCGATGATTGGTTGGAGGTCATAGAGGGTCACGCCCATCAGACAATCAACTGTCGATCAATTTGTCAATCACCTATCAATCAATCAGTTTGATCATCTGATTGGATAATAAGGAGCATCTTGCTGTGACTGGTTTGGACACACTGGTAGCTCTTCCTCTCAGTAGAGACTCATGCTGCTGTAGAGACACACACACACACATACACACACATTTATAAGACACTGCTGTGTCTGGCTCTATGCAAACAATCTGCTTTTTGCTCACTGCCCTGGGAACACACACACACACATCTGCTCTGTGCTAGGTGCACGGGGCAGGGAGAGAAGCCAGGATGGAACTGCCTCTAACCGGAGACACTTCTGCCACAATGAGGACTTTTACTTTGAAATGTGTGTCTGCTTTAAAACAACTTTTACTTTGAAATTTAGAGAGGACTTTTATTTGGTGTTTTTTTCTCTCATCTGATGTTTTACTTCCAGGTGGATAAGGCTTGAGTAGATGTTCTTGTGTTCGCATGGCTTACTTCTTTCTGTCTTTCCTTGTTGCTTTCCTTTGTTTTCTTTTAAAACTGAATTGAAATAAAGACGATTTAAGGTTGGAGAGAAAAAAATTGAGAGAAAACATTAATGGTGGAGTACAACACGATTGTGCAACACGATAGTGCGTCAACAAACATTTTCCTGTTTAATTTTTTTTGCCATTTTGTTATATATACACACTACCGGTCAAAGGTTTTAGAACACCTACTCATTCAAGGGTTTTTCTTTATTTTTACTGTTTTCTACATTGTAGAATAATAGTGAAGACATCAAAACTATGAAATAACACATATGGAATCATGTAGTAAACAAAAAAGTGTTAAACAAATCAAAATATAGTTTATATTTGAGATTCTTCAAATAGCCACCCTTTGCCTTGATGACAGCTTTGCACACTCTTGGCATTATCTCAACCAGCTTCACCTGGAATGCTTTTCCAACAGTCTTGAAGGAGTTCCCACATATGCTGAGCACTTGTTGGCTGCTTTTCCTTCACTCTGCGGTCCGACTCATCCCAAACCATCTCAATTTGGTTGAGGTCGGGGGATTGTGGAGGACAGGTCCTTACAGAGCCTGGAGGTGTGTTGGGTCATAGTCTTGTTGAAAAACAAATGATAGTCCCACTAAGCTCAAACCAGATGTGATGGCGTATCGCTGCAGAATGTTGTGGTAGCCATGCTGGTTAAGTGTGCCTTGAATTCTAAATAAATCACAGACAGTCACCAGCAAAGCACCCCTACACCATAACACCTCCTCCTCCATGCTTTACAGTGGGAAATACACATGCTGCGATCATCCGTTCACCCACATTGCGTCTCACAAAGACATGGCGGTTGGAACCAAAAATCTCCAATTTGGACTCCAGACCAAAGGACAAATTTCCACCGGTCTAATGTCCATTGCTCGTGTTTCTTGGCCCAAGCAAGTATATTCTTCTTATTGGTGTCCTTTAGTAGTGGTTTCTTTGCAGCAATTCGACTATGAAGGCCTGATTCACACAGTTGATGTTGAGATGTGTCTGTTACTGTCACGGAATCAGCCGAGGCTGCCCCTCCTCCTTGCTCGGGCAGGCTTCGGCGTTCGTCGTCCCCAGAGTACTAGCTGCCACCGATCTATGTTTCGGTGTTTGTCTAGTTTGTCCTGATTGTTTTCACCTGTTTCCCATTATGTTACATTGTATTCCCTTTATAACCCCCTGTCTCTCATTGGTTATTGTGTGTAATTGTTTTCCGTGAGGTCGGCAGTGTTCGGGTGTATGCGTATTTTGTTCCTCCCTGTTTGGAGGTTTTGTTTGTATTTTGATTACTGTGCTAGTAAAGTTCGTCTGCCAGTAGCTCGGTGTCCTGCGCTTGACTTCGCTCACAGCATACACGTCGCCCTGACAGAATCACACACCATTCATGGAGTCAGCAGGAGCGGCGGTGCCAGCTGGATCAATGGAGGAACGCGTCGAACACCAAGCGGCCATGATCCAGGCTCTCGGCACCGCCATGGAACGGGTGGTGAGCACTATTGAGCGATGGGAAAGAGGGGGTCTGCCTACGCCTCCTTCAACGATACCACCACCATCGGTGATGCCCATCGCTTCACCTCCGGGGTCCAGTGGGATTCGGCTCTCGCTCCCGAGGGCTTATGATGGCACAGCGGCCGGGTGTCAGGGTTTCCTGCTCCAGGTTGAACTCTACCTAGCAACCATCCACCCGGTGCCCTCGGGATACGAGAGCGTGTCCGCCCTCATCTCCTGTCTGTCCGGCAAGGTGCTGGAGTGGGCCAACGCCGAGTGGGGGGGAATAGACGCCGCTACTGTCAACTATGCGGAGTTCACCCGCCGCTTCAGGGCAGTATTCGATCATCCACCAGAGGGTAAAGCGGCGGGTGAGCGTCTATTCCACCTTAGACAGGGGAGGAGGAGCGCACAGGAGTTCGCACTGGACTTCCGGATGCTGGCTGCCAACGCGGGATGGAATGAGAGGGCCCTCATCGACCACTACAGATGTAGCCTGAGGGAGGACATTCGTCAGGAATTGGCCTGCAGGGACACCAACGTCAGCTTCGACCAACTGGTGGAACATGTCCATTCGCCTGGATACCCTGTTGGCTACCCGCGGATGTGCGGATTCAGGGCCGTCCATTCCATCCCCCAGCACTTCCGAGCCGACCCCTATGGAGCTCGGAGGTGCTGGTGCTAGGGAGACCAGGAGAGAGACCAGGAGGGAGGCCGTCCCCTGCACCAACTGTGGCCGCAGAGGACACACTGCTGGTCGGTGCTGGGGAGGGTCTCCTAGGAATCGAGGCAGTAGGCAGCGCACTGATGAGTCATTCCAGGTGAGTAGGCACCCAACTCACCCAGAGCTCTCTGTTGCGCATATGTGTATTAAAGTTGTGTTTCCCAAGGTTTCTCCTCACTCCCAGCATAAGGCGCTAGTAGATTCAGGCGCAGCTGGGAATTTTATCGATCGCCAATTCACCTATAAGTTAGGGATTCCTATTGTACCTGTTGATGTGCCCTTCCCCATCCATGCCCTAGATAGCCGCCCTTTGGGGTCAGGATTGATTAGGGAAGTCACAGCACCTCTCAGGATGAAAACGCAGGAGGGCCATGAGGAGATACTACGTTTGTATTTGATTGATTCTCCTGCGTTTCCCGTGGTGTTGGGGCTTCCCTGGTTAACATCTCATGACCCCAACATTTCATGGCAACAGAGGGCTCTCAAGGGATGGTCTGATCAGTGTTTCGGGCGGTGTGTAGGTGTTTCTGTAGGGGCAACGACGGTGGAAAGCCCGAACCAATGTCACGATCGTTAGACGGAATGGACCAAGGCGCAGCGTTGCAGGCAAACATACTTTATTTAAAGAGAGTAAACACTCGAACAAAACAATAAACGATACCGTGACGTCCAAAGGTTAAACACAACCAACACGGAATAACCCAAAATGAACAAACCAACTGGAACAAGATCCCACAACTATTGTGGGAAAACAGCCTCTATAAATATGGCTCCCAATCAGAGACAACCAGCAACAGCTGACACTCGTTG